AACCACAAAGACACGAAATTTGCTGTTCGCTGTAATTCTAACAAAGTGGTGTCGCCACCACGAGGTTTCTGTTGTCAAACTTGACCGCACTACTTATTATATTTTATGGTGTCACCGGAGGAAATACAGTGTTGACTGCAGAATTAACAGGTATTGCTGGTCCATAAATCATGTTAGGCAATGCGGGGACAGTGTACGAACATCTTAGTATCTGTTTGAGACCTCAGTGGCTAAGTTTACTGAGAACTCCATATCCTAGAAAGCAGTTAAATCATAGCGAGAGTTATAGGACAATACTGGTAATGTACTTCTAAGACTCCTCGGAATATACTGTGGTATTTGGTGTTGGTGCATTGCATATGGCTGCTTGAAATCCACAAAATAAGTATAGTGCGTGCCATTCAAGTTTTTGCTGAACTCTACAGGCCTTATAGGCAGCAGTACATTATTTGACAATTCGCAAACAATTATTCTACTTCATGTATGTACGAACTGATCAACTTATTCACAAAGCCTGAAAAACTACATATATATGCACTACAGCCACTATTAGTCGATAATCAGCGAAAGATGTGGCTCGTTGATACAGGTACATAACTTGCAGTTTATGTATTAGTAATACAACAGTAGTCGAGACTTAAGAAGCTGCATAACCCCTAGGAATGGGAACTCAGAGAGCTCAGTAGCTACCGCAACGGAAGTAAACTTCAAACTGAGTAGTAGACGGAATCCAATTTAGTTCTGAATTAGAAAACGAACAAAGTGAGTCGATTATGCTGAACTGTAGAATAAAACGAAAACAAAGTGGTAGGTTAGATACTAGCATTTATAGGGGACCGACACACTGGTAAGTACTTCGACTTTAATTGAGAGTCGGTAAAGATGGGTTTAGTTAATGTCTTTATAATCAGGCCAGGAGCCTTAACTGGTAGAGAAGATTTAACTAATGTGAGCCAACGAGTAAAGGAAACATTAGCGAATAACTACCTACCAGAATTTATTCAGAAATATATGAAGAACCATAGAGAAACTAATACTGGCAATAAGGGACGAAAATAATAGAATCCAAAGCCTTTGTAGTACTGCTGCAGAAGCCGTACTTAGGAAGTGTTATTAAACTGATATGACTATGAGTAATAATTTATGCTCGAAAAGTTATCCAGTTGTTAATACTGCGTCACTGTGTGATACGTAAAATAAACTTATCTAATAACGAATCATATTCTACCGCAGTGCCTAAGTTCTACACTTACATTAATAAACTTCAGTTTCCCATCATACACTTGCTTAGACTTTAGTAAATCATCTTGTGGACATAAACGTCAAGAGGTGGGTGGTTTCCCTTCATTCTATTATAAAGCGCATTAAAATAGCTCCTTTGCATGGTGGAGACTTCACAAGGACCTATTAGCGGCTTGATGACAAAGGACAGGTTGGGGGACAAACACTAGGACACCGAAACGAGGAACAAAATACTTCGATGTCGAAGACAATTAATGTTCAAATAATGAATTACAGCAGGTCCCAATATTTTTCGACCTAATGTAGTGGAGTAGTTCAATACATTATGAAGACCTTTCGTCTAACTGGCACGTAAATGATATTAAACGAAGTGGGAAATAATCTCAGAGAGTCGCCAACAAATGAAAAAATGATAAACTGTTGGCTGTTGCTTTCATGTGTATTTATTTCACTGAGGCTAAGGATGCCACCTAATGAGTAAAATATTTAATTATTCCAAAAACTACGGTAAAATTGCGTCGGATACAGGTTATTTCGAAAATACTATGCAGTAGGCTTAATGTCTTTGGTAGTTAAGAAAAAGACAGTCACGTTAAAAAACTGACGACTATTCAGTATTACTGCTTTTATTGGTAATCCACAATTCGTTTGGGGATTTCTCTTGTGTGAAGTTCTATGTTAACGAGTTAGTTATACTGTAACGTCAAAAGTCAGGCAACAGATGGTTTATTGAGGAAACCAACACGTATTTATATGTTTTCGTGTACATTATTATAGATTATTGTTAGCAGAAAAACACAGTCTTCTGATTGTTTGTTTCTCACAGAAAGTTAACCTTGCATCTCGGTGTTCACCTGTTTCTCTTTGTTTACGGTTGCGATTGTGTTTGCGTAACCCCATCTCAACGTGACCATATGTGGTCCTTCCCACTCTGGAAACTGTTTGCCTGACCCTGTCGCACCTTCGTCAGTATTTTACCTTACACTCTCCTATGCTGCTTTCTCCCGACCTCCCAGCAGCGTCCTAAGTAGTAGCCTCATCACTGAGAGATCTTGAATGCCACTCAACTGCGCAGAAGCATCGAAGTCCTGCCCGAAGATTCATGTATCTCCATCAAAAACTGTAGGGCAAAGGTTTTCCATTTGTCGGTAGGCAGCGACACTAAATGTCACAACAGAAGACAAGGGCCAGACAACAGATGGTTTATTGAGGAAACCGACACGTATTTATATATTTTCGTGTACATTATTATAGATTATTGTTGTAAACAAACAGTCTTCTGATTGGTTGTTTCTCACAGAAAGTTAATCTTGCATCTCTTTGTGACTGTTAGCACTTGGACCTAAGTTTTTTGATGCAACATCAAAAGTGAATGAACTGAACACGAAAGTGCAATTTGAGAATTTAATCGACCAGACGAAAGATCTGGTCCCAATCTCATATGAGAATGCAGAACTTTTCGAATCAACCGTTTTAAATTGCTGCCTTGATTATATCAACAAAAAACAGCCTTCGTAACGTACTTTCCAAAGAACATCGAAAGCATCTGAAAGAACTGATGGATAATGAAAACTTGATCATCACACGACCAGATAAAGGCTCCGGAATCGTCTTGATGAACAAATCAGACTACCTAAGCAAACTCTCGGTGATACTATCTGATGATAAAAAGTTTCAGAAACAGTCTCCACAGAAAGACGGAGCTCCAGCTAACAAAGATATTGAAGAAAATGAAAGACGAATACATTATCAGTTCAAAACTATACGAACAACTGTGCCCATCTGGTTCTACAACGCCGCGCATGTACGGCTTACCTAAAGTGCACAAACAAGACGTCCCACTCCACCCAATACCCATATCATACAATCGCGAAATGGCTGGTGGAGACTCTCGGGCCGGTGAAAGAGAAGCTGTCAAGACATAACCTCCGTGACACATTCGACTTTGTTGATTCAATTAAGAATGTGAATGTGGGAGAAAAGAAAATGGTCTCCCTGGATTTCGTATCTCTCTTCACCAACGTTCCACTGACAGAAACCGTATGTTTCCTTTGTGACTATATTCAATGCAATAGCATCGATGTCGGTATACCGATCCATTACCTGAAAGAACTGTTACTTCGATGCACCTTCAAGGTATACTTTAGCTTCGACAAGGAAATATACAGGCAAGTAGATGGAGTAGCAATAGGTTCTCCCTTAGGACCCCTCCTAGCCGACTGCTTTATGGCTAGCTTAGAGAACAACGCCTTATCACCACCTGTCAACGACCTCCATCTCTACAAGAGATACATCGCTGATACTTTCATTATTTGTGATGAGAACTGTGATTTAAAAAACCTACTTCAAACCTTCAATAATGCCTACCCAAACATCGACTTCACACTTGAGACTGAATCCGACGGAATGTCCCACTTCCTTGACGTCCATCTGGCAAGAAACGCCGACAACTCTCTGAAAAGGTCCATATACAAAAAGCCTACATGGAATGGACAATTCATCAACTTTCAAAGCTTCGTGCCCCTAAGCAGAAAAAGGGACCTGATATACGCTTCTTCCTTGAGGATTCGGAAGATATGCGGCGAGGAGATGATTGATGAAGAGCTGAATAATCTCCGAAGAACCCTGATGGAAAACAGTTTTGCGTCTAGGTTCATAGACAAGAACCTCAAATCGAAGAAGACTTTCGAACAAGTTCGATCCGTCCCGAAGAAGATACTTCTGCTTAATCTAGAATTCAAAGGTGACATTGAAGCAGAAATCCTTCGTTAACGCTTCTGCAAATCTCTGAGAAAGACAAACTTCGCCGCGAACCTACGACTGACGTTCTCCTGCAAGAAACTGTCCAACCAGAACGCGAAAGACAAGCTGTCGCATTGGGCCACTTCAACGTGCATATACCAGTTTAATTTTCTCTTGTGGAGCTGAGTACATCGGCCGCACCATGCGCCAACTTGAAAACCGCGCTCGTGAACACTATCCAGCCTGGCTAGAAAAAGCAGAACGAAAATGTGTATATAGTTCAGTGACAGAACATCTGGTCAATCCAGCGCCTTTCCAAAAATCCTTCAAAGTATTATACAAGATCCAATCAAACCTATCAGAGGGAGTGAAATCAAGACATCTGGGCATAGCCGAGGCACTAGCTATCCAAAAGCTCAAACCCACGCTTTGTATACAAAAGAAATACGTCCAACCCCTGTCCCTGCCATGGCCATCATAAACAGGTAATTTTTTAGTAATGACCATCCCATCGTCTTTCTTCCTGTTTATTCATGTTATTTTAAGTTTTTCTTAATCCCTGTTTACACTACCATATTTTCATACCCGAACTTCGTGTTTATTTTGTCATTTTACTATTTCTACATATTTAATTCCTGATTGCATAAATAATTATTCAACTCATTAGTTTTTATCCAAACATACTGTCTATTTTGCCATTTCTACATTTCTAACCCCTAAGTGCATAATGTCAATCTTAGTTATTGTGATGCTACTTTGTTTGTTTTATCCATCCCCTGTTTATTATGGCATTCTAATTCCTAATTTTAATTTTTATTAATTTGAACCTTAACCGGAAATTATTCTGGTGCATTCCCATCCATGTGATATAAATACACGAATGTACAGCCTAGATGATGACTTCGTCGAAAAGAAAATTTTCTTCGCTGCAGCTCTCACCACAGTACCACTTTGGGGAGCGGAGATTTAGTCGAATGTTCTGTTTCAGATGCTGGGAAACAGAAAAGCCTATTCTTGGCGGTATCAACTTAAAATTCAACTCTAACCTTCTATATTTAAAATAAACAAGGAACATGAAGAAGTTTATACACTGGAAACGTATTAAGTTACACAGTATGTTCTAGATATTTAGTTAAGACACTAACAGTTATCAGTGGTATTACATCACAAAAGCTTATTTGCTCGATGACTGTCCGGCATATTCATTCTCATCATATCGGGGGAAGTTTTCTTCATGGGAAGATTCTTTATTATTGGATAGCGTTGACGGCACATTGTGATCCTGAACAAGTGAAGCCAGGGAACCTGTAACGTTGAATCGGTAGCACACTGCCATTATTGGTAACATCGGATTGGCTGAACAAATGTATTTACATGAGTCGGTTTTTTCCCCACTGGTAGATGTTCCATTTTGAACCATAGTACTGCCGAAAACAGGGAGTGGAGAATTAAAAACGCTACGACTATCCGGTGGACACTTTTGATACATTTTCATACTCTCTACATCAAATGCTATTCCTACTTGACATATTCCACAATTGTTCATAACCGAACTGATGCACTGCTTCGGAAAATCCTGCTTGTATTTTGAATGATAGGCCAAAAGTCTTAAAAACTGTCGAATCCAACCACCATGGCTTACCTAGAAAAAAATAAGTACATCAGGAACAATGGTACAGACAAATTCGTATAAATAGTCATAATGATACAATTTAAGAAAGGTGAAAAGGTCCACATACAAACCTAGAGTATATGTAACTAAAGCGCTGCGAGTTCTGATATATAAAATAATGATTTACTTTGATTGGACATTAGTTACTAGTGTGACGTGTCTAGTCCTTTCTTTGGTGCAGACTGAATTCTATCAGTCAGGTTTTGCAATGTGGCCACCATTCTAGGTAGCTCGCCATCACGGTGCACATTGATTTGATGATATTAGATAGTTGGAGGCAATCGACAGGAAGCCTTGAACCTAGGTTTCGTGTTAGTTGGCACTCATCAGCAAGGCGTATCTGCAACCTGAAGGAACTCATGTCCCTTCTGAGATTCGAACCCGCGTCACCCAGTGCTGCAGTCAGAGATGTTACCACTGAGCTATTCACGCCCACGATTCTGTCTGTCAGTCTGGATTCAACATAGAAATTGGCACCGAAGTGCGGCAGTTCGAGTTGCCACGTTCCAAATAGCACACAAAGGTAGACAAGATGAGTGAAGAGAATCAATAGAATTTGACGAGTATAAGAGTGAAACAGAATGGGTAATGGTAAAAAGGAATATGAAAGATTACAGAGACTGAATATATCTGCGCATGTGACAATGGTTTTGAGCCATGTCACCTATTGTCTCCAGCCATTGATTCCTACAGTTCCGAGGGCCCCAATCCAGAAGTCTGTATCTTCCTACCTGACTCAGTTTAACTGTCAAGGATTTCATGGATTGATGCCATGTTTTTGTTTGGCCACCACTTACTGTTTTCCAACCTGCACCTATATCTGTCTGTTTTCGACATAGAACTTTGCACACATGTGAGGCAGTTTAAGTCGCCACACTCCATGTAGCACACAAAGCAAGGGAAGAAAGTACAAGAAAAGCATAATAGAGACAGTAAGCAGAGGTGTAAGACAAAGGAATAGTAATAACGAAGAACAAAACAGTTTCATTGGAAATCACAAGGAGTGGATGCATCTGCGCCATTGAGAACGATTTTGAGGCATGTCACCAATTGTTTCCAACCATTGGTTTTCACCGTCCCGAAGACCCCAACCAGTTAGGAAGTCTACACCTTCCTACGTGACTGGCTTAGACTAACTGTTGTAGATTTCATTGACTGGTGCCATGTTTTGGTTTGACCGCCACTAACTCTTTTTCAGCCTGACCCTATATCAGCTAACATAGCCCGTCGTGGAAGGCGATGACTAGGCATACGTAACACATGTCATAACCATCTCAGTCGATGTAACTTCTCATGAAAGTAGTGAATAAGCTTTACCTGACAGGCTAATATATATATATATATATATATATATATATATATATATATATATATATATATAAGAAGAAGAATAAGCTACAACATAATTCACATCAATGACGACGAAAGAGTAGTTAACAAGCAACAGTTGTTCTGTTTCTATTCTGCTTGAATACATGACAGGGCGAACAGTTGTAGTTAAAAGTACACTACAACTATATAATTCATTTACAAACCCACCTTTTTATTCATTTTAATACGAGTAAAGTTTTGTACAGGTAAGAAAAGCAATGAACACAGATTAAGATTTGTTCACCACAGACTATTCTGAGCACCGAAGATGCCTTTTTAACAAATAGCATAGCAGTTTGATAAGAAAGTTAAACTTACAATAAGAATATGTCCTGCATAATTGATCGACGGAATTTCTGTACCATTCTTCGGAAACACAGTACAATTTTTTGTGATTATATCTTCCATTCGTGGTACATCAGTAGAACCTATAATCGGAAAACAGACTTGACGCCGATTATCAGTATGAATCACAGGCTTCTCCAGGAGACGAAAACACAAATCTAAAAGGAAGTCATGTGTTCGGCTTGCTAGCTATAATTTTTAAAAATACCAAAACCACACACAAAATAAGAAATTTGTTAGAAATATTGCGGGAAAAATATTAAGTCTTACAACCATTGCTCATGTTAAAACTACCGGTATCCTTCATTCGACAAAATTAAATCCCGCCTAAACAACCAGATATACAATGCCTCCATGGTAAGGAAAATACTACATCAAACTATGAATCATTATAAGTACTATGTATCTTTAACCATGAATAACTTATTTCTATACTACAGGGAAGACAGACTAACAACACTCCTGTCAAACAACAAATGTTTCGTTGCATCTCATGAACAGCACACAATCAGAAACAATGTCAATATCAATAAGTAAAATATCTTTCATTTCTTCGCGTTCAAGGTGGAACGTGGGGCTTTAAAATTAAAAGTTTCAGTGACGGTATTCTTTTTACAGGATGAAGTTGCTAGCCTCACACCCAATCTTTCCTGTTCCTGAGCGTTTTAGCGACTGGTCTAGGAGTGTGTTGGATAGGATTCGGACCCCAACCTCCCACATGGATGACCCATATTCTACTATTGGACCAACTGACAAGAGCCAAGGAGAAGAGATAATATCATATTATCCCGCTCAATTTTGTGTTCTTGGCTTGCTCAAGTTTGCCAAGAGAAACAAAAAAGAATGAATAAAAAGTGTCATCGGAATGTCAATGGAAACAATATAACTTATGATAATGCAGTGTTCATGGTTAATTGTCAACCATATTAAAACAACCGGTATCACTTATGTTAAGATTTCAAAGTTGATCTGATCAAGGACTGGTATCGTTTTAAGAATCAACAAGCATCAGACAGCTGTTTCAACCTACTTTATGGCTACTAATTATTACACATCCACAGTTTCTCAAGTCTTCATACTCAAAATATTCAAAAGCTGAAAATACTATGGTATCAGATTGTGACCCACTGTCTCGATGATAAAAATTTCGCTATACGATCTGCCTTTATAGAGAGATATAAGGTAGGATGATTATGGTTAGTGCTCCTTGGTTTATAACGACTAATTAGTTGGTCTGATTTTCTGACGAAACCACTAACCTCGACAAATCCAAACAATCAGATGACTGATACTAAGAGCTCCCCTTATAGATTATCTTTAAATGAAAAGTTAGCTTTCCATTGAGTTAAGAAATCTTTGCTCTTTAAGGACATGTGAACCCCATTTCGTAAGACAAAATGTGAATATAATTACATTAAACGTTCATCATTCTGATAATCACATTATTTACTTTGTCTAGTATGATATTAACTGGAGAAAATGTCACAACATATAGTACCCAGAGTCTCAGTAGCCAGAAAATGATGCCGGACTACCATTGCTAGACTTCTGCTATCACACGATAACGTCTACTCTTCCTCAAACGACTGACCTTCATAGTAAGCGCACATCTATACATACCTTATTTGTCTTTTGGAATTAATATCTGTTTCACCACTCAACTAGTGCTAATTTTCGTCAAAAATCAATGAATGCGACTTGGTAGCTCGACCGATAGCTGCTACCTTGACGTGGTGGTCGGGGTTGCACATCGCGATGACCCAACAAGCTACACTGCAGGTCCTGCCATGCCAGTGAGGTTGTTAGGATAGCGATTAGACTAAAAGCAGTTACCGGCATAGTGTAAGACATTTTGTTTTTACACTATGCTGAGGTCCCGGCCGATAACCGCTACCTTGTCGTGGTGGTCGGGCTTGAATACCGTAATGACCCAACATGCCAAACTGACTGGGACTCTGTCCCTGCAGGTCCTACCATGTCAGGAAGGTTGTTTGGATAGCGGTTAAACTAAACGCAGTTACCATGGAGTACATGGGCTTCAGTATCCAATCGGATCAAATGGCGTATGAATCCATATGGGTCACCGGAAACCATGGGAATGCAGCTCCTGACGCTGCTCCGCTGCCTTGCGGATTGGACTCCAAGTCAAAGGCTCGGGGGCGGGGTGTTCTCTTAATAAAACCACCTGCTTCGGTCTGGGCGCCCGGGCAGTATCTCAACCCTCACACAATGAACTGAATGAAGCAACAAACAATCAATGACACTTATCATGTGCTATTACATGTGTTGCAATTTCCTTCTTTCTTCCCTTCCCGATGATGGTTAACGAATACCGTTTGAACTTGTTTAGCATGACTGTTTTCCTTCCAGATGAAGTTCTTTATCCATTCCCTACTTATATATATATTTCTCTTTCTTTTTTTCTTTTGATCTATCTTGTTTTATTATTGTGTGGTGCATCCTTCCTGGTGCCATATTGTACCAAGTTTTTATGCGTTTAAATAAATAATAAATAAATGCTGGGGGTCTGAGGGCGAAATCGTACTGCTGGCGAACAGGGATGTAACAGCAGTAAGGTGTTGCCCTCAGATGATCAGCATGCCAGCAATGCTCTCCACTCCGGGGAGAGGGGGTTAGAAAAGGTCGACGCCAAAAATTGTACATCCCGACTTGCCATACGATGGTCCGTAACCGTCGGTAAGTTTACTAATACTGAACCAATCCGAGAAATCAGTTCATACAGGCCATGTGAGACCGGCCTCGAGCAGTTGTCCCTTGGGCTCTGTGGTCACGCAACACTAACCCTCACTCTGTTTCAGCTACCCGAAGAATTAATCAACTTCCATGGTGTGGGCGGCCAGGGAAGTAACAGTCGCCCACACACTTCCAAAAGCACATGAAGCCTACCTGAGCATCATTCTCCTCAACCCACATCTTATTCCCCTACTACAGTTAGTACTTATTCTTCAGGTTAGTGAGGTACCTTCACTTCACTCTGTGACCACAAACTTTTGTTTTTCTTTATTACTCCTTTGTCTCACACCTCTGCTCACTGTTTCTATTATGCTTTTCTTGTACTTTCTTCTCTTACTTCGCGTGCTACACGGAGTGTGGCGACTTGAACTTCCGCACATTTGTGCAAAGTTCTATGTCGAAAACAGACAGACAGACAGCAAATTCCTGTGAATTTGGTATTGCGGAAGGAAACAGAACATTCGAGTTCACCAATTAGTTTGAGCCGCCCACCACACAGCTGAGAAGAGTCTGGGAAGTATTTGTGATAGGTGGTCTGCCAATATCATTCCAAAGTTTCTCTAATATAACAGTAATATCAGAGGCGGTATCTAGCTGCAGACGCGTATCATGACCATTCATCTGAAGACCAAGATATTTTCGCATACCTGGTGTTGTGACCTGACAGGTTGCGCGTAGACTCAATGATCTTTTTGGAGATTTAGGACCAACAGTTTGTCGAGGTTTCGTTGGATTATGATATCTGGGTTTGCGTGGCTGACAAAAACCATTTTTATGACCGATGATTTTGCACTTGCTGCAACGATGATTTTTGTACGGACAAGACTTTACAAAGTGCCACGCGCCACAATGCCAGCATGGTGATGGTGGGGTCTTCTTTGCAGTAATTTGTGAAGTTGGACGAGTATGTGTAGATTTACGCGGAACATTAGAAGGTGGGTCAGGACTGGATGATGAGAGGTTTTTGCTCTTTCGTAATGCATGAATATCAGAGCTTCTCGAAGGTGTTGATTCGACCAGGTGTGTGTCTTTCTGCAGATTAATCAGCCGTTGATATTCATCAGCTATGTCGTGTATGGTTAACTTGGGATTTTGTTCTAGATGATTGAGCAGTCGAGTTCGGATATCTGTGGAACGAGGAGATTGAAGACTGCATATGAGAACCAAGGCTTTGAATTGATCATCTGTTAAGGACCTGAGTCGAAATCTCTCACATTCTCGGTTGACTGTGCCAACGTGAGTAAGAAAATCATCATTTTGATTCATTGTCAGCTTGAGGCAACGATAACGTATGCTGAATAATGAGGAGTGGTCTCCAAAATGTTCACGCAGCAGCTTTATTGTATCATCGAAACACTTGTCACGTGGTTTCTGGGGTAAAATTAGGTTGCAGTACCGTTCATATTCTGCCGGACCCAATTTACGTAACAACACTCGCACCTTCCAAGCATCGTCTTGTGAGGCGAGATCAACAGTGAATAAATCCTCATAACGTTGATACCATGTGTCAAAAGTGACATCAGCATCTGGATTATAAATTGAACTGTGAAATAATATTCACAATTCCGTCGACAGATGGTAGCATGGTATGATTCGGATTGCTTGAAGGTGAAGCTGGACCAGTCTGTTGGTTGACGAACATTTCCATTAATTTCATTTGTTGTTCAAATAGTAATACCAATTTAGAATAATCCATAGTTTTCCCCGTCGCCAAATTGTTATGTTGCTGCTGCTGAGTGGTTAATAGTGGTTTTCCCCGTCGCCAAATTATTGCTATGTACTGGTCGAGAATTTAATAGTCCTGACGCAAGAAGGCGGAAATCAGAAGACCACTAGGTTTGCGATGATACTTCTATTTTCCAAACACCAGGAGAAGCAATATGTGGTATCACACCAAAGTGTGTCACACAAGATTGTGAAAGCGAAATATATATGACCATCCAGACAAGTGTGTGAACAAATCAATAGACAGTCTTAACATGAATGGCTAATTATAATGGAGTGTCGATCCAAATATACGTAGCAAAATATAGCAGACATGTCAACAACCACACATAATATGGATATATGTCACCAAGCAACGGACTGTCAACAAACACTCATATTATATATAATATAATATAAGGAGAATATACATTGTTAAAGGAGACAGGTTCATCGAAGTGAAATGGTCACAGACTAAGCGAGCAACAGAAAGAGAGATCACCATACACATATATATATGGATACATATCACATTCAGAATAAGTTGTCCACAAAACCCTGTCTTCCTGCTCCCCACAGTTTACCGTAAGATCCAGTCCACCACAAACACGAATATCACCGGTGGTAGCAGGTAGCTTTGTTTTACTCAAGTCTTCACTTGGAAAGCTCCGCTGAGGTTTCCATTGGGAATTACTTGACCTGTGTATGAGTTGTTTCTCCTCAATCCATCTCCTATCTGTTGAAGTCTTCCAGCCAGGACATCTTTTAGTCATCCAAGGATGATGCGGTCTGGATGAAGTGAACGGGAACACGATTCCGCGTCAGGTTTTGAACGGGCTTAGGTTGCTTTTCTTTCATGGTTCAACAAGGTAACCTTTCTTACCATCAGCAGGTGGCTTTCTTTCTTTTCAAACTTTTTTTAAACACTGGCGTGAGAATATCCACTGAAGTCTCCGGATCCATTTAAAAAATTTCTTTGATTACAGCTTGATTCTACACCGAATTTTTGGTACAGGTATGGAATTTTCAGCATGTGATATAGGTAGCCCAAATTTTGCAGGCCGACCATAGATATCAGGTGTGCGTCGGCAGGGGATCGAACCCCGGACCATGTGCATGGTCGGCGAGGGTCCTAACCACTGTGCCACCGACGCACATGTGTTTTTGGAGGAATTCCATCTGCTCCTACTGTCTTTCCGGACTTAAGCAGCTTCATGGCGTTCAGGACTTCCACTTTTGTCAGAGGACTGTTTTTCATTGACAGTTCTGTGGCTGCTGGTGGTATTTCTGGACGAGTTGTAAACACTTTGAAGTCATCAGCTCATCGTTTGTTTTTCTCCTATGGTATTCAGGTTCCCTTCGCTATCTTTTGATGATTTTATTTGTGTTGACTAGTTGACACTAGAACAGAACAGCTAAGGGTATATCTAAAAAATGAATCGGAGCTTATATATTGCATATGAGACACTCCTGCAACACAATGGTTCAGTGTCAGTCATACTGAACCATAGTTACCGTTGATTTAAGAAAATGTAAAGCCACTTAAGTCTAATTATACATCTCTCAGTAGGTGTTAACCTTAAGACGTTTGAATGCCCCAACACAGAAGTTAGATAACAGGAAGCGATTACACGATTCCATTATGGGTAAAAATTTTATTTTGATAAAGTCTCACAGTGTTATACAGTAATATATATATTAACGACATTTCAAGCACAATTTATCGCTCATCATCATATCAAGCTACTCACAGAAATTTCCAACTTCGTTTATATAATTCCATTATTTTTCATCGCTTGATTTGATTGGTAGTAGTATTTTCCATATTTCCGGTATGAGTGATGAGTCATTCCTGTTGCATGTGTTGAGTGTAGACTCGATGCACAAGGATTCAGTAATCAATCTCTCTCTCTCTCCCCACTTACCTATATTACTTTTCAGAATTTCAACCCTCCCACTCTATTGTGTGGTTATCTGTTAATGCATTCAGCGCAATCACTGACCTTTTTTTCCAAATTATTTATTTTTGCGGGGTCAACCATTATTACCTTAGCTAAATTCTTATATTCTGACTACCCTAATAGTTTGACCTATGTAGTTGACCTCATAGTCATTGCAAGGTATTTTGTAAATTATATTAATTTATCTATTGGGTCAGTAGGGTCCCTGAGTGAGTTGGTAGGTTTAAATGCCACTCTAATTCCTGCTTTATTAAGAATACTACGCAGGGTCTCAGATGTCCCCTCCCTATATGGTAGAACTGTAGATGCCTCAAATTCTCTGTTATTTATGTTTTCATCTATAATTTCCCCATTTGTTCATCAAGTCTACACTCAACACATGCAACAGGAATGACTCATCACTCATACCGGAAATATGGAAAATACTACTACCAATCAAATCAAGCGATGAAAAATAATAGAATTACATAAACGAAGTTGGAAATTTCTGTGAGTAGCTTGATATGATTATGAGCGATAAACTGCTCGAAATATCATTAGTATATATTGCTGTATAACACTGTGTGACTTTATAAAAATAAAATTTTTTACCCATAATGGAATTATACTCTAACACAGTGCACAAGTTCTATTCTCATATCAGAGATTACACGATGTCTACAAGTAAATAAAGCAAACACTAAAATCCCTTCTACACTTTTGTCATAAATTCAATGTTAACAAAAAACATAACCTCATGTGGACATTCTCCACCGACACTGCGCCAGCCATCACACTCTTGTCCCATCTGGAAATCTGACTCCGTTAACTTTTGAACCTCAGACCACGTGCGACCAGTAAGTGATCCAAAATTCTATTACAAACACTGATTACTAGATATGGGATCATACTCTTTCACGAAGCCGTGGTTCAACTTCAACAACTTTAGAATCACTTACTTCATATGCCGTCTAAAAAGAAAGGTGAAAGAGAATCTTTAGAAGATAGAAAGCCAAATAAGATTGAAATATGCATACATAAAAAATCCCTCGGAAATAGTGTACAACAAAATCACTTGTGTTTACATTAGAACTAAAAACGCTTCAAAGCTCAATGATACCTTATTCACATACTCCTTTTCTTATTCTCAAACGCTTTGATAATGACTACCAAAAGAACAGACTACTCCTTTTCTCCTGATATACTTTCGCACAGTTATAAATTTGTACTCTCTATCACAGAAGTTTAATACACTTTTACAGGGTTGAGTGTTATCCACAGAATGAAAGGATGATGACAGACATACTAAACTTAGTGGATTAGAGAGATACACTTAAAAGTTGAGATGTTATGATCTTCAACTAGTAGTTGAACTTTGCACAGATGCGCAGCAGTTCAATTAATGAAGGTGCAGAATTTTGGCAGTACGGTAGAATATAATTCCATATTAAATAAGGTTATATATATATACATGTTTTCTATATGGTGGGGATTATTAGCCTAACGTTTAACCTTCCCTCCTTCCTGGTCTTACTACTGGCTAGTAAAGTGGGTGAGGTTTCCTAGTGTAGGCCGGTAATTGACCCGTAACCACCTACCTGGTTGGCAAACATCCCACCTGTGAACCATCGATACGACTTCAAAAATCTGTGTGAAGACAGAGAATGTCCGCATGTCTTACTAAGAGTCAAACTGAAAATGAAGAAGAAATCGGTTGGTTATTGCACCAGAAATTTCGAAATATCGTCAAAAGCGGAAGTTGGCTTCACGCTTAAATCACCACTTCGATTGACAAAAACTAGTGGATTTAATCATTTTATTTGCTGGTTAGCATTTTATAGTACATTATTGTGTCGTTCATTCACGTTTCTACGTTGGTGATAACTGGCATCGGACCCATTGACGACCATTTCTTCCTACACCCAAATCTTCCAACAAATATGCCTAGATCTCAGTGAGTGGTAGTGTTTCCCACCTAGAAACCATGGTTACAAAAACCACTAAGTTTAAATGAGAAAATCGACTTCATTGTTTCAAAACGAAAAGGTTTGAAGAAAAAAATTACACCGATAGCATAAATATTCCTGGCATCCAAGATTCGGCAAGTTATCCAGGTAAGTATTGGGGTATCCTTTAATGGTTTGCACGCTTCAGTTTTAACCAGTGAATTCAGGATTCAAACCAACGTACTTCTAATACAGGTGACTCATTAATTTGCACAAAAGTAAACCAGCTCAAATTGTCACACTTCGGAGCAACATAAAGTTTGGCGTGAAACCTTCCCCTGTCAAATGGGGTGCTACAAGACTGATCTGCACCGATTCTGAGTTTAAGGATACGTAGTGGAATGTTTGAACGTGCTACTTCACTTATGTAGGTAGTTACATCAGCCTTAATACACTGATTGTTGACGAGATACCAGGACAGATATAAAAGGTTCGTTTGGCGACCGCACAACATTACAGCCAATTACAATTACAACATTGCAGCCAATCTGCTCATAACTTAGTACACGAAATCCATAATGAATGAGTAGCAGAATAAGCCCTATTATTATTATTACTAACTCATATAAAGATGAATAAATGAATTTTGCCAAACTTATCACTAACAAATGATGAAATATTCTAGTGAAAAAAGGCTACATTCTGAATTGGTTGCAGTAATCATACCTATCTGAGAATAAGCACCTAATACACCTTTATAATCTCCATAACTTTTATTTACACATATTAGAAAGCGCATAAAGACAGTTAAAAATGGAATGTGATATGCTGAATGGAAATTTAATAATCGACACAAAATTTTTTTTCCTTCACGTTCCTAGTGGAACATAGGGCTTCAGGCCAGTGGCTTGAAGTTTCTGTAGCGGTGGTGTTTATTTTTACAGGATTGGGTTGCTGGCCTCATGCCCAACCTTTCCTCTTTACCAGAGTTATTTCTGGCTTAGCAAGGCAAAGGAGTGCGTCGGCCGGGTATCAGACCCCGGACCATGTGCATGGTCGGCGAGGGTCCTAACCGCTGTGCCACCAACGCAGAATACTCGACACAAATAACTAGGAAATAATGGAAACAAATTTAAAGGTGTCTATGAAAAGCTTACAACTTACAAATCTCGCTCTCTTCAAATCACTTGAAATAACAATATCTGGTGCACTTTGATTGATGAATGTTCGAACATTTCTTGCCTGTTCATATCCATTATCTGACAGATCTGTATCTAAATGACCTACAGAATAAAAATTTATTAAAAACTTGAACGAACCTTGGATTATTCTGTTTTTATTTTCGGTTGTTTCTCCACTACAATATATTTCATTATAAAATCAATTCCTACTGTCGTAGAAGAGTAACATAAAAATATAAAATTTCTTGTCGCATATTCAAAATGTGAAGGCAAGACGGTGGATTGCTAGTTTATTGGAAGCTGAATAGAAGATGCAGATAGTTTTCTAAGAGACATAAGGTTTAGTGCACGTGTCAGTTTGTAACCTCTCCTTCCGCCTTTTTGATAATTTATAAGCTTTGTTTCACAAAAGAAGAAAAAGTAACATTTGATTAATAGACAGGAGACTGAAAAAGGATAGACACAAAAACAAGCCACGCCGAAGTAAACATTAATATGACTAACGATGAATACAAAAATTGCTGTGAAGACAAGTCATATATTAGCTAAACACGCCCAAGTTAGTTCACAGGAAATATATAAATTTCACATGGTAGCTGATCATGTTCATGTGGCTGACAAATATAACAATGTACAACTGTTATGTACTAGTTTTCCACGTCGCCAAATTGTTATGTACTCGTCGCTAAATTATTGTTATGGACTGGTCGAGAAACTAATAGTCCTGACGCGAGAAGGCGGAAATCAGAAGACCACTAGGTTTGCGATGATACTTCTATTGTCCAAACACAAGGACACGAAAATAAATGGTCTCACACCAAAGTGGTAAGTAAGTAAAGTAAAGTAGTTCACACAAATTTATGAGAACGAAATATATATGAATGTTCCAGACAAATCATTAGACAGTCTTAACATGAATGGCTAATTATAATGGAGTGTCGATCCAAATATACGTAGCAAAATATAGCAGACATGTCAACAACCAACATATATGGATATTTGTCACCAAGCAACGGACTGTCAACAAACACTCATATTATATATAATATAATATAAGGAGAATACACATTATTAAAGGAGACAAGTTCATACAAGTGAAATGGTCACAGACTAAGAGAGCAAATAGAAAGAGAGACCAACGTACACACACACATAAATATATATATGTGGATACATATCAACAACATTGCACAGAAACAAACCAATCTAAATAGTTACCGTTTTGAGCTGCATATATATATATATGCGATGGTCAGACTACAGCACACAGGTCATTCTCAGTCCAGAAGTGAATTTTGAGCTCTAGGATTAGTCCTAGCTATACAACAGAAAGATCACAGAAGCAAGTCACACAAACTCCTAATATTTGGTAACTTTACCACACCGGTTACATGAAATTATGAAAGTAAGGACGCTTGAGTTTACATGAGTATTTTCACAGATATAACACACCGGACACTATAGTTTGGGTAAGTCCGGCTTATCTACAGAATTTCCATATAGGGTTTGGACGTTTGAAGGAGCAATGTGAAGTCATTGAAGAAATAAACAAACCATATAAGGAATGGTACTGACATCAGGAGAATTTAATGAAGTCTGAAAAAGGGAAGGTGGGTAGTGAACAGAAAACCTTTGTACGCACTTGGTACTTTGCAGTCCCCTACATTGTGTTAGTTGATTTTTTATTGGTGAACTAGAAAAAGAGGGAATACTTCTGCATTACCATGAAGACTGGACGCTTCTTCCTGAGGTCTGATTTCAGGTGTCAGAATTTCTACTTTGTCGTCAGCTAGAGACAAATAGAAAGTAAAGTGGTCTGTACAATCCTCAAGGTCAATCTTTTCCGAACATTCTCCTTAAAGCAAAAATGCAACGCTACTAGTTGCCCTAAGCAGGCCCTAGCCACCAGTAATACAAATGTCTCAGACACTCATTACAGTCAGAGCAGCCTATGTTAAAATGGAAACTGCTTCTAGTCTGACCACAATGCATTTCGTGCCATAGTAGGATCTAGATAAACAGTCATTTCAGTTAATATAGCTAGGTGAGTTGTTCCAACGACATATTCAAGACCAGTTGTCTGTCGAGTAAATCAGTTAGCTTTAGATAGTTTTTTCGTCCTAGTTCCAAACAATTCAGTTTGAGTAACAGATCCAAAACAACTGTGAGGTTTCAATTTCCAAACGCTATTGTGGTGAGAGCTGGCTGTTAGTCAAAATTGGTGGACAGTAAATTTACGTCAATGTTTATGTCCCCAATATTGGTCGTGAGAAAAATGAGAAGAAAGGCTTTGCGTAGGCGGATGCAGTTAACATATAGATGATCTGACATTCAAGAAACAGCCACAAAGAGATGCAAGGTTAACTTTCTGTGAGAAACAAACAATTAGAAGACTGTGTTTTTCTGCTAACAATAACCTATAATAATCTATATATAATCTATAAATATGTTTTAATTTCCTTAATAAACGATCTGTTTCCTGGCCCTTGTCTTCTCTTGTTACACTACCACCATACACTGCTGATAATCGTAGGACTTATAACAATACTAATAATGCTGGTGTTGAAAACAGCTTTGCTAGTCTAATAAGCACGATTAAGTTTATAAGTATTTAAAGTCCAATTTAGTAGTTAAACATATTCGTATGGAGCCATAGATACAATGAGTAACTAGAGGTTAATTTATTTAGAGGTCAATAGGATCTCATATACTGCATGTCAACATACCATTTTTGGAAGTGACAGGGTAGATAATTATCACTAATCTGACCTCGTTCATCCCTATACAAATACACATAGAATTCTCAAATAACTGAGCGAAAGACGTCATTAACATGTTAGATCATTAGGCGTATCAACACGTACTGTGATAATTGAATATTCTCATATATAAGGTTATATGATGCCAACGACTAACTTGACTTCCCACTTTATCATACATTTCCCCTACGTCCAATGATTTATTCTGCTTTCCACAGGATTGAACAACTAAATATTCTGAGAAGACCAAATGAATGTGTACGACTGAATGGTTCTTGCTTTTGGAAAGGAAATATTAAGAAACGACTTTTGTGTACACGTCACAGGAATCCATTAAAATTTGTGAAGCTTCACGATTATAATTATCTGAGAAAACTATAGACTGATTGACTGAAAAAAATTCGCAACTTTTGACAAATATGAAGCGTGCCCATTATTGATTAAAAATATTGTTTCTGATATCTTCACTAGGTTCCACAGTTATGGTCATAGCAAATAAAGAATTATTGTTATTAAGAATACCAATGTTTTGAATAACATGGAATCAACAACATCAAAAGACTGCAGCTGAAAATCAACTATACATGGTAACACTCATCAATATAACACTAAACTGAATATCAGATAAATTCAGAAGTAGGTTTTGCAGCAGGCCAGGTTTACAGTAGCAGTTGGATTTGTTTCTTTTGCACACATAGCTCTGGATATTTTAAGGGAATTGCTACGGCCTCAAATGACTGAAGTACTTAGTAAATAGACGTCTTTGGCAATTTACTGGCCACAAAACAAATGACAGAAAAAGATGCTTTAATGATAGGTTTAACCTCTCCTAGTTTGTTAGCTTGCTAGTTTTACAGACAGCCCCAAGCCCCGTTAGAAAGGAGTGTTTGATGCGGCGCGGTACACCCCAAAACCAATCGAACTGCTACAGAAACTTCAACGCACAAGAAATACATTAAAAATACAAAAACATTGAAATAACAATCTTATTCTTCGTTGGAATCGGAGAAACGAAATGACACAGAAGGCTGGTGAAAGCCTGTGGGAAGCAAGTCAGTCGATGTGTGCTCTGTCGATAAAAGCGAGAATAAGCATGGGGACGTGCTGATAATGTTCATGTGGCTGACAAATATAACAATGTACAACCTTGCACAGAAACAAACCAATCTAAATAGTTACCGTTTTGAGCTGCATATATATATATATATATATATATATATATATGCGATGGTCAGACTACAGCACACAGGTCATTCTCAGTCCAGAAGTGAATTTTGAGCTCTAAGATTAGTCCTAGCTATACAACACTCAACAAATATATGACAGTACGACGTATCAGGTGACCCACAACGGGAAACTGAGCGAGGCGTTCGAAGTGAATACAGGAGTAAGACAAGGCTGCCTGTTGTCACCGATGACATGAGTTATGAGTCAGACTGAAATGCACGGGATCACCGATAATAAGACTCTAGAAGATCTGCATTTCGCGCATGGATGATATATGTCTAATGTCACACAAACTCGAAGACTTGCAAGCGAAAAGCACAAACTGGTTGAAGAGGCTAACAGCGAAGACAGAACTCCAGATGAACATAAAGAAGACGGAGGTGATGAAGATAATCAACTAACAACAATACGAACAAGAAACAGCACCAACCACCATCAAAGGAAGAGATTTGACAGGAGCTACTTCCTTGACTTACTTAAGAAGCACCGTTTCAACTAGGCGGAACGGATTAAGATTTCAGAGTCGGAAAGGCAAGATACACCTTCATCAACTTGAAACCAGTTTGGAAATCTGCTGCACTCCACTTCGACATAAGGAACAAGATTTTGATTTTCAACACAAATGCAAAGTCAGTCAGTGCTTCTGTTCGCGTCATACACTTAGCGTGTGCGTCATGGAAAGGATTTCCAACAAGTTACAGACATTTATCAACAGCTGACTTCGCTGGCTCCACATTAAATATCAAATGGCTGACTAGAAAAAAGTAGCAGCAAAAAACTCCGACAACAAACTAACCAAGAGCCGATTGTTCAACAAATATGTTGGAAAAATAAAGGTAGATCGGACATACATTGAGGAGGCAGTCGTATGACATCGTGCGCAATGCAGGCCATCGCCCGAGTGGAACCCAAATGGGAAGTGACAATTGGGTCGTCAGTGCGAAGGTGACATAGAGGAGACCGTGCGAGCTGGAGGAAATGACAGATTATGGGCAATCGTAGACCCAGATAAAGAGGACAGCAGAGAAGAGAACAAAGTGGAGACTTGTTGAAACCCTATGTTCCACTCGGGACCCAAGGGAATAATAATAATGTTTGCTTTATGGACTATTTGGATCAGGTAGTCAGTTTTGCTACACATTTATTTAGCCACACTAGCAGGTGTTTCACACCAAAAAGAAAAAAACTCTAGAGCGACGGCCAACATAACTGACTCCAATCGAATTGACAGATACAAGAAAAGGTGGCTAGAGTATGCGCTTCACCTTTCAGTTGAGACATCAAAACTGATCAGAAGAAAATACGCGCTGGCTGGTATTAATGTTACGAAGGTGACTGAGTCCTAGAACGATGAGTGATGCTTGAATCTTGAAAAGACGAATGAACCAAGAATTTAGGCTTTATTCATTT